GGGGCCGGGTTGGGCACGGGAGGGAGGCGGGGGAGGGCGGCAGGAGGTGGGGAGAAGCAGCAGGGGTCGCGAGCAGGGGCAGAGATGTGCCGGTCGGCGGCAGCGTGTGCGGCAGCGGTGGCAGAGGCGAGCGGTGCGGCCCGTGGCGGCTGCCCGCCGGGCTGGCTGGCCCCTCACACGCCGCGCAGCCGCCGCCGCCTCACCACAAACACGGCACGCGCCTCCTCGGGGTCGCTGTTCTTGCCCATCTTGGTGTTGGCCATCCACTTGCTCAGCGGCTCCCCCGTGTACCCATCGTCCTCATCCTGCAGCGCCCTGTCCAGGTCAGCATTGTACGCCTGGCGCTGCTCCGGATCCATCAGCACCTCGTCTGCAAAGGGCGGGCAGGGAGGAGGGGGTCGGGAGGAGAGGAGTGGGGAGGGCGGCGGGCAGGGCCCACAGGGCGGGGACCAGGGCAGAGGCATGCATGCAGCGGGGAGCGCGCAGGGGTGTGCGGGGCAGGCGGCTGAGAGATCGGATGGGGCCAGGGCAGCGGCCCCTCGGCGCCACGACAACCGCCCGCGGCGGCGGCGGCGGCGGCCGCGCCCAGGCGCCACTCACAGGCCTCGTTGAGCAGGATGCACATGTTGCGGCTCTCGGGGTTGTCTCCCACCACATCCACGTGGCACACCTGCGCCCCGCGACCCGCCAAGCCATGCGCGCTGTCAGCCAATGCACACAGGCGTGCCGCAGGGCAGGGCAGGGCAGGACAGCAAGGGAAGCAGACTATTGCGGGCTAGCGGGGGTGGCAGGCTGCTGCAACTGCTGCTGCCTGCAAGCGCACCTTGGCCAGCGTGCGGTAGGCCATCTTGATTTCTGCGGGTGTGGCGATGTCGTCCACGCCCAGCAGCTCGTAATAGTCCACGGTGCCGTCCACCAGGATGAAGCTGGAGGCGGCGCCTGGGTGCGGGGGGCGCCCCGAGCTGGCCGTGCCCGCCTGCGTCCCGCTCTCCGCGGTGGCGGCGGCCACGCACAGGGCGCGGCGGAGGCCTGCAGGACGTGAAACGGTGTGTGAGGGAGCAATCAAGCGTGCCTGCCGCTGGCGTGGCGGCAAGCAGGAGCGGCGGCGAGGGACTGGGCGGCAGCGGGCTGTGGGCGGCTGCCGATGCTAAAGCTGGGCCTGATCACGGCTGTGAGCAGCCAGGAGAGCTGCGGAGAGCTGGGGAGAGCCCCAGCGTGCCGGGAGCGCGCAGGACTCACGCACATACCTGGTGTTGGCCTGCGGCAGGAGGGGCGGGCTGCTACACGCTCCCTGAGCACAGCCGCAGATGGGCAGGCGCCCGCAGCACTGAGGGCGCAGCTCCTGGCGGACGGCATCTCTATAGGCAGCAGGGTGCTGCACAGGGCCGACCGGGGCGCGTTTTACGACCCCACCGATCACCCTAACGCAAGGGACGAGCGATCAGTGCGTCTTATGTCTCGCAGGCAGAAACCCTGCTGCAGGCAATCTTGCTCGGTCGCAGCACAGCAGGGCGCGAATGGAGGGCGCGTGCAGCGAGTGCTAAGCCTCGGATGCGATGCAGAAAAGCCGACAGCAGAGAAAACAACTCGGGAACGGCGGCAGGCCGCCCTCAGCTCCCCGCCGCTGGCACCCGTGCCCTTCCTGGTCCTAAGCTTTGCCTCCTGCCTCAGCCTGAACACTGCTTCTGCGTGGGGTGCTCTTACAATCCAAGCACCAGCGCAGGCAGCCCCGCCCGTGGTGTGCGTCCTGCGCGGGGCGCGCCCGCGCTGCATCCTATGCTGCTTCCAGCCTGCCCGCTGCGGGGCAGGCGGCGGTCCTCCGCTGCTGCAGACACCATTGCCTACTTCTTGGTGTCGGTGGTGGCGGGGATGCCCTGCACAGCATGGAAAGATGCGGCCGCATGAACAGGTCAGGGCACGAGTCGCATGCTGCCCGCTAGGCAGCGCGGGGCAAGCCGATCACCATGCCAGCCCAGGGGGCCCTCCAGGTGCGCACTCCTTTGCACACACCACCTGCGCAAAGCGCTCCTCGCGGCGCGCAATCTTGCGCTCGCGCGTCGCCTTGTTCTTGGCCCGCCGCGCCTCCAGCTGGTCCGCAATGTTCTTCTCGCGGATCTTCTCCGCCTTCTGCTTGTGGATGGCCTCCATGAGCACGCGCTTGTTCTTGTACACGTTGCCCTTCACCTGCGGGGGGTGAAAGCCCGGGAGCCGGGAGCAGGCGGCAGGGCAGGGGCGGATCAGGGTGGGAGGCAGAGGTCGGGGCATGGGCCTATCCGTGGATGCGGCAGCGAGTAGGGGCAGCAGTGCCACCGGGCGGGTGGCCCACAGCAGCCGACAGCGCGGTGCCCAGGCGTAGGCACCATGCACGGCACTGGGCGTGCGCAGAGCTGCGCGATGCGCCGCCCGGCGGCGTGCATGATGACAACGGCAGGGTGCCGCTGTCGTCGGGCACTGCAGACGCGCTGCTTCCCGTAGCACTGATACAGGGTTGCCAAGGTCCAGAAAAGACGTGCTGCGCTGCCAACAATGCAGCTGCCGCTGCCAGCTGGCATAGGCTGCCGCATAGCATGGCGGGCCATTTGCCAACTGCCTCCTGCCCCACAGCGCCCGTCCCCAGCCCAAGCTGCTTGCTGTTGCAAAACGCTGCTCCTGAAGTGCCGCATCTCGTTCCACGCCGACTGAGTTGTGAGCTCCACCCATGCTGCCGCTGCCTCCTTACTGCTGAAGCCTTCAGCCCAGACACGGAGCTGGCCAGCCAGCCAGCAGGCAGCCATACAAAGCAGCAGGGCAGCAGGTCGGCGGCACAGCAGGCGGCGCAGCGCAGAGGCAGCCAGGCAGCCCACGCCGGCAGCACACGCGGCGCGCCCTGCGCTGCGTTCCCTTCCCCACGCTGCCCCGCACCTTCATGTACAGCTCGTGGTAGAGGTGCCTGTCAATCTTCTTGCTGTCGCGGTACTTCTTGAGCAGGCGGCGCAGCACGCGCATGCGGCGGATCCACAGCACCTTGGTGGGCAGCCGCGCCTCGCGGGTACCGCGGCGCTTGCCTGCAGGGAGGGCGGCGGCAGCGGCAGCCGAGTCAGCGCGTCGGCGTGCATGCGGGAAAGGCTGGTCGTGATGGCGCTGAGCCGCCGACAGTTTGCTGCTTCGTGCCGCTGGGCAGCGGCCCGGCGTTGCCACCGCGTGCCATGCAATAAGCTGCTCCATCGCCTGTGCGTGCCCCATGCGCCGCGCCGCTCCAACAAGCCCCTCTGCTGGCAGCTGTGGCATCCGACAGCTGCCTGGCTCCAGCGCTTCCATGCCGTGCCAAGCATGGCTGCCCTGCCCCCACAGGCCGAGTGCCCCCACCACTGGCTGCCCTGCCCTCCTCACCGTAGCCGGTGTGGCGGCCCTTGGACTTGGCCTCTGCTGCGCGGCGCGCGCGAGAGCGCGAGTGGATCTTCTGCGGCTTGCGAATGATGAAGCCATCCTTCACCAGCTTGCGCACATTCTGCCCTGCACCACGCGCAGACGCAGGCACGCGGGGAGGAAGGGAAGCGTGCACAAGGCCGTCAGCGAGTGCTGCCGGCAGTGCGCTGTTTGGCACCCAGCCCTGGAAGCCTTGCCCTGTAGCTGGCCAGTCCAGCAAGACACTGCTGACACGCGTGCCCTGCACCAACGAGCATGGCGAGCCGCCGCATGCCGCCACCGCCCCCATCTGGGGCCCAGTGCCCCCTGGCCGCGCCCCTGCCGCGTCCACGCACTGGAGTTGGCCATGGAGATGTCGTTGACCTCATTGGGGTCCAGCCACACCTTCCTGAGGCCGCAGCCCAGGACGGAGGAGGCGAGCCGCTTCTGCAGCTTTAGGGAGACCTGCACACCAACCAGCTCCGCAATGTAATTAGCTGCTCCGCCCAACAGGGGCCCGAAAGAGGCCCGGCAGGGGCATTGCCAACTGGGCGCCGTGCCCAGCGGGCGTCGGCGCTGCTCCCCAGCGGTCCGAAAGGCTGCAACAGCACTCCAGTCCGCCGTGGGCGGCGGCTGGAGCCACACATAGTTGCAGCACCGGCATCGCCACCAGCAGCATGCTCCCCCGCCCCCCCAGCCGCTGCACACACCATGGTGCTCCCCTCGGGTGGCCCTCCAAACGGAGAAAGAGGCCCTGGTCGGCGCGGTGTGCAGGCAAGTGGTCGCCCTGCCTAGTCCCAGGCACGCCTCATTCACAGCGAGTGCCAAGCATTGTAACCCTTTGCGGAACGCGCGCGATTCACGTTGGGACCAATTGAAGCTGCTGCAGTCGCCAGAAGGCGCCTGGGGGGTCAAGCAATCACCGACATGCGTCCACTTCCGAAGTGAGCCTGTGGGGTCCCGCTAAGGAGCCAGGCTGCCTGCATCGGCATGGGAAACGGTGCAGACAGGGGTTTGGGGGCATGCCGGGAGGTGAACGGGTGGTGCCTGCTCCTTCCCGCCGCCGCCGGAAGCTGGCCGGCCAATTTTGTTGGCTCCATCCTCCCTCCCTTTGGCTCACCCCCTTGCTGATCTTTGCCTGCACCGCCCTGCAGGGTCAGCAAGGGTCGCCGCCAGCAACCGCTGACAGGACCCAGGCCCTCCAAGCTCGTTGTCCTTGCGCTGGTCACAGCCGCCGTGCTCTTCAATTGCCGAAACCCCAACTACCTGGACGCCGCGGCGGGGGACAGGAAGGAGGATGCGTGGGTGGGCAACCACCTGCCAGAGGGGCTTGCGGCGCAAGCCGTCGTGACGCTCCTCATGGCCGCCGCCTACTGCCTGGCGCGGGGCAGCCCGGCGCGCCGCCCCTGGAGCGCCGCTGAGGCCGTCGCGGCCGCCGCCTGCCTGGCAGGCACTGCGCTGCGGGCCTGGTGCTTCAGCGCCTTGGGCCGGCTGTTCACTTACGAAGTGTCCATCCGCACCAGCCACCAGCTGGTCACCACCGGCCCCTACGCCCTGCTGCTGCACCCCAGCTACACCGGCACTGCGATGGTGGCGCTCGGCTTCTGCGGCTATATAGGCCTGCTGCGCCGCTGGCGGGGGCTGCTTGCCGTGATGATGACTGTCGGCGCCGCGCTAGGCAAGCCCGGCCAGCTGGTGCTGCGGGATGGTTTGGGGAAAGCTTGAGTGCCAGGTGCTCCTCTGTGGCCGTTTACTGCCGCTGGATCCCCTGAATGATTTTTTTCTCCAACTGCAGTCCTTCGCATCATCAACGAGGAACAAGTCCTTCTGGAGCACTTTGGTGCCCAGTGGCAGCACCACGCTTCGAGCCGCTGGAGGCTGGTGCCGCTGCTGTTTTAGCGGGGCCTGCTGGCATTGCAATGCTGCGCCCGTTCTCAAGCGCCCTTTGCCGATGGCAACATGTCGTCTATTGACAGTTGTGTGCTGCACATTGAAATTTATTACGCCTGTACCCCTGAGCTGCCTGCGCGCCCGATTTTTCATTTTTCATTATTCAAGCAAGTATTTGTACACTCAATGTTTCATTCATTGCATTGCTAATGCAACCACAGCTCGTTTTGCATGCCGGCCACCTAGCGTCTAACACTGCTGTCGCTGAGACTTGTGGGTGGGACCGCAGCATGTTAGCATTCGGTGCAGCAACTGCAGGTGCAGGGATGAGAGATCAGACATACTTGTCATTACTGCATTGCTTAGGTGCGATCCATCTCCAACCCTTCTCTCTTCTGTGATCACTTGGACTCATCCCAGCAATGCCGGGGCGTGACAGCATGGCGCCGCCAACACCGGGCGGGGGATCAAAGTCAGGCATTCAACCAGCCGCCGCATACGATCTCAATTGGAGCCCTCTGGGCATTCAACAACTGGCGCGCAGCGATGGATCAGCCGAGGTTCACTACTCGCGGGTCTGCCATCTTGCTGCTCGCTGGCCCCGAGGCCCCAGCAGCACCACCATCAACGGCCAGGATGCGACTGATGGGAACCATGTTTGCCAGCATCGGGGCCGGGCTGCTGGGGTCCCCCGCCGCCCCGCCGCCAGTCCAGGAAAAGCGGTGCGTACAAGTTGGCGCAGAGCGCAGCTGGCAAGGTGCTGCGTTAACTGTGATTGAACACTGAACATTGTGGTTCCAGCTCCATGTGTTTGCAGGACAGGCACCGTGTTCCCTGGCGAGCTGGAGTACTGCGCTGGCAGGCGCGGCTGTCCAGCAATCGCAGGAGCCGGGTGGGCACTGCCTGCCCGCTGTGTGCCGGACACCCCATCCTTGCTTGCCTCAATGCCGTGCTGCTGCTGAACATCTGCGGGCTTGATGCTTGCAGGGCGCGCACCAAGCGCATTGCGGGCGTGAAGAACCTGGACATCTATGCGCTTGGGCTCTTTGTGGACCCGTCGGCGGTGCGGGGCGCGCTGCAGGGCAAGTTCAGGGGCGCCGACCCGGCCAGCCTGGCAAAGGACCAGAAGCTGTTTGATGGTGAGCAAGGGCAGCTGCCTTTCGCTTGGGGAAAGCGGCTGCGGCTGCCTGGGCTGCCTCCTTTCTGCCCTCGTGGTGGCCAGGCTCCGACTGTACTCGTTTGTCTGCCGCAGAGCTGGTGAGCCACGAGGGCATCGAGAAGACCCTGCGCATCGTCATCACCAGCGGCATGGTCAAGCAGCGGCCCTTCTTGGAGGCGCTCGAGGAGCGGCTGGAGCCGCCGCTGAAGCAGGTGCGCCAGCCAGCCACGCCTGGGCCTTCTACCTGGCGCTTGTAACCCACCTCCAATCCCTCTGCCCCGTTGGGCTCCGGCTGCAAGCAGGCTGGCGAGCTGGAGGCGCTGCAGCGCTTCAAGCGCCAGTTTGACGGCGCGCCCTTCCGCAGGGGGCTGCAGATCACCTTCTGCGCCTCGGGCACCAAGCTGACAACCACGATTGACGGGAAGCAGGTGGGTGGGCCGGCGTCGGTTGTTGCTGCAGCGGGCGCAATGGTGGCATCATCATGCCGGCGCTGCGATCTCGCTTGCAGGTGGGCACCATTGCCAGCCGCCAGCTGACCCGCGCGCTGCTGGACATCTACCTGGGCACCAACCCCGCCAGCAAGGGTGCCAAGGACAGCTTCGGCCGGGGGCTGGCCAGCATGGTGCTGGACTGAGTTCAGCACGCGTGGGGCTGCCGGCCGCTGCCAGCCGCCACCCAATGAACTGCGCACTGTTTTCTGCCTCCGACGGGCCCGAGCCGGCAGCCTGCGCCCTTACAGTTGAGCATGCACAGCTGTGCCAGAAAGAGAGAGCTTGATTTTGCTTCCACGCCTGATCGCGTTGCCCTGCCTGACATTGATTCCTTTCATTTCTCTCTATTCAAGATGTGATTTACGATCCACGAACTTGCACAGCTAGCTGTAAAGACGACTAAAGCCAGCACAGACATCATTCAGCACGCATCACTAGATACGGTTGGCTATAAGCACAAGCATGACGGCAACCAGCAGCACGTGGGTGGCGGTAGGGGAGAAAGTAGCGGGATTGCCAAACGCCGCCTCCAGGGAGGTCAGATACTGCCTGAAGGCCGGCTGCACGACCTGCCACACCGGGTTGCTGCCGCTCTGCGCGATGATGCGTGCCAGGAAGACGTAGGCAATCTGCAGGGAGGAAGGAGGTGGTGGTGAGGCTCACACAACAAAGTCTGTGCTGCAAGCTTGTTCTTGCTGATACCAGACTGTAAGCCCACACAAGCAAGCAAGCAAGGCGGCAAGTACACGCCCGCTCGGGGCGGTGGCGACAGCGGCTGGGCGGGAGCAACAGCGGCGGGCACCTTGAATTGGTTGAGCGCTAGCGTCGCTAGGAACATGTAGCCCGCGGGGCCCCATATCAGCTGCAGCGGGCCGCCGAGCATCTTCTCTCTCTTGTGTGCAGCTCGCTGAATCTTCTCTCGCTGAATGAGGTGCAGATCTGGCGTGCAGCTCGGCTTTCCAACTGCAGAATCGAGGGCAGAGGTCAGCGAGGGCTGGCCCGAGGGGATTGCTCCCCATGGCTAGGGCCGCCTGGCGCGACAGCTTGGCGGCCGCCACATGTTGCGGCCGACTCCCGCCCGGCCGCCTGTGACCACTGCGGGTGGCTAGCATCCCCCAGGCTGCCTCTTTGCAGCGCCGAAATGGTTAAATACATGAAGCCTCTCAGGGCAAGGGCGACACAATCTGCACCGCTCACGCCGAGGCAACCTCAGTGTGCGGCAGCAGGGCATCCATCATGGGGCTGCCCAGAATGTCGTTTGGGTCCAGCCGCTGCCGTGCCGCATTGAACGCAGCCACCGGATACCGCTGCGCTAGCCGCTGCTGCACCACCTCCAGCTGCGCCGGGTCGCTGGGCACCTGTGGACAGCAGCAGGAAGGCTGTCAACCGCCCGCTACAGCCCCAGACCAGGACCAGGGCCGGCCTCCTGCGAGGGGCAAGCACCCAACACCCCTTGGCTGGCTTGCAAAGCCCCCACCTCTATCTTTGCCCAGTGCTCCACCGCTCCGTACTTGGGCATCAGCTCCCGCTCCACAAGCTGCGCGTACTGCCGGAAACTGCGGCAGCACAACGAAAAGGGAGAGGTGAGGAAACAGCAGGCAGCATGCCGTCAGCGATCGCCGCGGCGCAAGCGCGGAGCACAGACCATGCGGCCTGCATGCAACTCGCTTCGCTGCGGGTGCCCACAATAATCAGCTCCCCCCGCGCACCTGTCTGTCACAGCCTGCCGCTGCTCTGGCGCCAGCTCAGCAAGGTACATGATGACGCCCACCCAGCTGTGCAGCGAGCCGGGCGGCCCGTGGGCGGGGCTCATGGCCGCGCTGCTGCCTGCGGTCCAGCGCTGCTCGATGGGGGCAGGGGCCGGCACGCTGCGGGCAGCCACCAGCCTCAGCAGATCCTCCATGTAGGCAATGTCCCTGCAGGCGAGAAGTGGAGGGCGGTGGCAAGCAGCAGGCACGGCACCAGGCAAGCGCCAGCTTGCCGTGCACCCCCCTTGTTATCGCCTCCTTGCTGGTGCCAGCAACACCCTCACCTGCCATCGGGCTTGTCCAGGGTGCCAGCGGGAAAGGCAGTCTCCAGCACCCACTGCTGCCCCCCGCAGTCAAAGCCCAGCAGCTCGTCGCTCCACCCCACCCGCATGCCCTCACTGCAGCACAGGCGGGGGATGGCAGCGAGCCGCAGGCCATGCGTTTCGAGCAAGCCTCCTTCTAAGCAAGGACTCTGGCATCCGGCTGCAAGCAGGCAGCGGCAGCAGCCGGTCTCACTGCCGCTCACCAGCGCCGCCAGTACTCGGCCTCCGCCTGGTTCACTTTCTTTACCCACGCTGCATCCAGCGGCCCCAGCGCCAGCAGCCGGTCACGGCACTGCGTCGCCGACAGGCCCTCCACCTCCTCCGCCTCTGCCGCCGGCAGCCGGCTGAGCAGCAGCGTGCGCAGCGGGGCCAGCCGCTGCGCCTCGCTGTACTTGCTGGTTGGAGCCTCTGGGTCCTGGCCCTACAGGCACGAGGGATGGTGAGGGTGGCTATCAATCTGCGCTTGCCATGCCAGGCATCTTTTGCACAAGTCAGGTCGCGCCAAGCATCAGCTCCAGCTCTGCGGGCCACCCCTCACCTGCGCCACCTCGTTGCAGGTCACCACCACCACGGCATCGGTGTTGGGGATCCACATGTACCGAAGGTGCTTGTTGTCCCGCAGCCGCTGCGCGTGCCGCTTGCGCACATCCCTCAGCGTGCTCAGCGTGGTGTGCTCGACCAGCCGATGCGCAGGCACGCACTGCGACAGGCAGGCAGGCAGGCAGCCAGGCTGTCAGTTGCCTGCGGCACAAGCCGTTGAAAAGCAAGCTTCCCAAACCTTGCTGGCAACTTGAGCTCATCCCCACTCAAGCAGCCTTCCCAATCTGTGTGCCACGCACCTGCAGCGTCACCTCGGCCACCACTCCCAGGCAGCCCAGCCCAACCTTGGCCAGCTCAAACAGCTCCGGGTCTTGGGACTGCGCCAGGTGGGCAGCGGTGGGCGGCAGCGGCAGCTGGGAGGCGCTGGCGGTTCAACGGGAATGATGGCTTGGCACCTGTTCTGACATCAGCTGCATCCTGGGACCCCAGCGGGGCAGCCCCCCCCAAAAAAACGACCACCTGTCGCCCCACTGCCATCACTCCCACCTTGCTCAGCTCGATGGTGCCCAATGCGGGGGTGACCAGCTTGAGGGCCACCACCTGCTCATCCACGGGCGGGATGGCGGCGCCGGTGCCGTGGGCGCTGACCTGCAGCGGCGGGTGCATACAGAATCTTAGCTTGGTGCGCTGCACAGCCCAGCTTCTCCTGCCCAACCAGCCAGGCAACCAGCCAGGCAGCCAGCCCCCCAGCAGCCAGCACACGCACTTGGATGAAGCCGCCGACGGTCTGCTCGCGAATGGAGGCGTAGTTTTGGAGCGTGAGGCCGTGCTGGCGCAGCTGGTCGGCAACAGCCTGCACCCGGGCGCCCGCTTGCACGGTGACCTGCGCCAGGGCGGCACGGCGGTCAGCAGGTAGGTTGCGCGGCATGCGGGGCAGGGCCATGCATGCCAACAGGCGTCCACATGCGCCCAGGCTGGGCTCCCGCCGCACTGCACCTCGCCTCGTGCCGCCCTGCGCTCGCTGCTGGGCCATGCACGGCGACGACGCAGTGGGAGGCGACAGCGCGCCGCGCACCGGCACCCTGCAGCCGCCCCCTGCTCACCTGCCCCTGCTCTCTGTCGATGCTCAGCACCCGGTCCATCAGCGCCAGGCTCACCATGCCCGCCTCGTTGAAGGCAATGCCGTTGGGCGACAGCCCAGACCCCACGCACCGCAGCTTGCGGCCTGCGGCGCGGGTGCAGCAGCCGGGGCGATGCTGGCGGCGTGCTCCACTGCGCCGCCGAAGCCTTCCCGTGTGCTGCTGGGCAGCAGGCAGGCATGCCGCAGCCACACACTTCACAACAAGACCCTCGCCACCAATCACCCCCACCCCACCCACCCACCCACCCGCTTTGTGCGCCTGCTTCACAGTCGCCTCCAGCTGCTCCAGGCTCTCGGGCTGGTAGAAGCGCGCCACCTGGCACTCGTGAGTCCCCGACCAGTTGACCAGGTGCTCGGCAGAGGGAGGTGGCGCGCCGCCCTCGCGCTGAGCGGTCGTCACGACATAGTAACCATAGCCCGCCATCGCCGCCAGCGCACCACCCATGAGGTAGTTGCTGCGCTCACGAACCGCCAGCTCCTCTGCCGTCAGCGGAACGCCCGCCTCCACGGCCGCCGACGATGCGTGGGAGGGGCCCAGGATCACGCGGCCACGCCGCGGCGCCTGCAGTGCGTGCATCTGCTGCGGCGGGCGCGGGCGGGCGCCCTTCTTGGCGGGCCCCGCTGCTGCTGCCGCGGAGCGCCGCTGGGTGGTGCTGGCAGCATCTGTAATGAGTCGAGGGAGAATGGGCAGGCAGAAGCAGTGGTGAGTGCAAGAAGACGGCCAGTAACGCGGCTGCACTCCCGCCCGTGGCAGCCGCCTGGCGGCACCTGCCGCCACTGCCAATTGGGGCAGCCTGGCAGCATCACATCAGCCCCACCTGCTCCTTCCTTGGCGAATTCCCGTGCACCAGCGGCCACCCGCTGGGCGAGGAGGCAGGCGGCCCGTCGCATTGCCACAGGCAGCGACGAATTCCAGACCTCACTCGTGCCCCGGCATCAGCATCAGCGGATCGGGTGGGCTGCGATCAGGTTCCACGGGAGGCAGAGGGCTGCGGCACAGCACGGCACAGCACCGCACCGCATGATGCAATTTCGTCGCAGGCTGGCCTCAGGCGCCCTTTTCCGTGGCTCTCCAAGCTGCAAACACCCTGCAACACCGCTGCGACCCTCACAACTGTCCAACCTCGACCCTTCTGGTCTTCTGCTTCTCCAATCTCGTCTGCGCAGCCTCAGAGGAGGGTACGCCTTGGCAGCAAGATCTTGCAAGAGTGCTGTGAAGCGCACCCATCCGTCAGGTGCCGCTGCCCACCACCGCCCCGCTGCCGCAACCGCCGCCGGCTCCGCCGTCCTGCAGGGCCCGCCGACTGCTGGCTGCGTGTGTACGACCCTCCCATGAACCTGCGGGTGCGCGGCCCCGAGGGGCAGGCCACGTTCAAGGTGGAGGCAGATTGCAGCGTCGACGCCTTCCGCGTGCTGCTGGCTGAGAAGACTGGCGTGCCAGCGGAGCGGCAGGAGGTGCGGTGCGGCTTCCCCCCCAAGGTTCTCGTGTTCCCCGCCAATGGCGCAGCAGCCACCGTCAGCTCCTTGGGCATCCAGTCAGGCGACTCTCTGACGGTGACGCAGCTAGCAGCACCAGCCGGCGGCACATCAATGGCTCCGGCGCCGCCCAGCAATGGGCATGCGCAAGCAGCAGCCGGCAGCGCAAACCTGGCAGGGCTGAGCGAGGATGAGCAGCTGGCGCGGGCAATAGCGCTGTCGCTGGGCCAGTCGGTGCCTGACATACCGCCCGCAGCAGCACCAACGCCAGCACCGCCGCCAACAGCGGCGCCAACGGCCAAGCCGCCGGTGCGGGCGCATCCCGCGGCGCCCAGCACTGCCAGCAGCGCGCAGCAGGGCGCCCCCACAGCCGTGGCCCTGGCTGACGGCACTGCCGTGGTGCGCCGCATAATTGACAGCGACAATTCCTGCCTCTTCAACGCGGTGGGATACGTGACGGAGCGCAGCCGCAAGCTGGCGCCGCGGCTCAGGTGGGCTGCCTGGCTGGGTCGTTCCTGAAGCGAGCCGCCAGGCGGCTCGCTGGTTAGGGCACAGGCTGTGGAGCAGCCACAGTACACTCGGGACTGCGCGAGTCATGGATGCCTTGGATGCTGCTCGGTGCTCACATGCTGTGGCACCTGGCTGCTGCAGGCAGGTCATCGCGGATGCTGTGCTGGCGGATCCGTTTGAGTGGAATGAGGCCGTGCTGGGCAAGGAGCCAGCGGAGTACTGCCGCTGGATCAAGGTGCCTTTGCGGCTGCCTGTGGCATCAAGTGCAGTGCTGAGCCGCGACAGCCCCATTTTTTGGAACGCGTCTGCCAAGACGGACTGAATGATGAGCCCTGCGTGCCGTGCACTGCGCAGGATCCCAACAAGTGGGGCGGCGCCATTGAGCTGAGCATCCTGTCGCGCCACTTGGGGCGCGAGATTGCGGCGTTTGACATCCAGACCACGCGCGTGGGTGGGTCTGGCTGCTCCCTTGGCGGCGACCTTGCCCCTGTGTTGCCTGCTTCCGCCTGCCCCAAGCGCTCCTCCAGTGGCAGGCATTGGTTGCTTGGCGTCTCGACTCTGACCCTGGGAGCTCATTCACCTGTGCACGGTTTCCCTCGCTGCCTGCCGCAGACATCTACGGTCAGGGTTCCGGGTACAGCGAGCGCGTGATGCTCATCTACGACGGCCTGCACTATGATGCGCTGGCGGTGGCGGCGTTTGAGGGGGCGCCGGAGCAGCTGGACGTGACGGTCATCCCCACGAGCGGCACGCGCACCGAGATGGTCATGCAGGTGAGGTGAGGGGGCTCGCAGGCGGGAAGGTGGAGCGCTCGCACAGAACGCTCGCCAGGCTCACCTGCGGTGCGGGCTGTGTGCAGGGCGCAAAGCAGCTGGCGACCAAGGCGCAGACGGCACGGGCATTTACAGACACCGCCAACTTCACGCTGCGCTGCGGTGTCTGCCAGATCGGCCTGAAAGGCGAGAAGGAGGCGGTGGAGCACGCGAAGACCACCGGGCACACCAACTTCTCCGAGTATTGAATTGCTGGCTTCCCAAGCCTTCCTCAACGAATTGGCCGCTCTGCCGATGTGTTTACTGTAATTTGCTGGTAATTACATCAGACATGCCCCGCATCCGCAGCGGCGCCTTGCTGGCGGCGCTGAGGAGGAAGGCGGCTGACCGGGCCAAAACATGGCAGTTCAAGGCGAATTGGGGCGTGCACTATACTTTGCGAGTTGCCGCTCTCGCTCGTGCTCCTGCGCGATCGGCCAAACCAACTGGCCCTAACTCGACTGCTGCACACGGCCAGCCTCTTCCAGGCAAACACACAGAGGGCCAGCAGCCCCAGGAGCCAGGCCTTTGGCCCCATGCTGGCCACGGGGGTTCTCGGTGTGGCCCCGGCGGCTGCGAGCGGCTCGCTCTGCCGGTGGGTGGAGCGCGTGATCGGGCCCCGTGGTGGTGCTTGGCGATCGTGGGGAGGCCCCCAGCCGTCCACAACCCCCTGCTTCACTCATTGGCTTCTGCTTCTGCAGGAGGACCGGCTCCCTTCATAGCTGCCTGCGGCTGGCGGGCCTCCCAGCACCTCGTCGTGCCACAGCAGGTGTGCTGCTGCCTCCTACCGACCTGCACCGCCCCCTTCAGCCGCTGCCGCTGGCGCCTGGCGGCGCAGCCTCGCCCGCCGCCACCTTGCCCCTGCCCTTGCACCAACACCAGCACGCCCCGGGCTTGTCCTCCTGCGTCGCAGTCCGTCGCTATGCTGCACGCCCTCAGCGTGCCAGCATCGCAGTGCGGGCCGTGGCGGCGCCAGAAGCGCAGGAGCGCGTCACCCCGGTGGCGTGGGAGAGCAGCCTGCCGCTGGGCCCCGGCAACGTCAGCATGCAGGTGGCCGTCAAAGACGACGAGCAGCGTGTGACCATCGCCACCAGCCTGCCCGGACGCCTGCTGCTGCACTGGGGCGTCGAGGGCGGCAAGAACTACAGCGGCGGCTGGCGCCTGCCTGGCGACCGCTGGCGCCCCGACGGCTCGGTCAACTACAAGAACCGCGCCCTGCAGTCCCCCTTCCAATCCGTCAACGGCAACGGCCTGCAGGTGGGGCCGGGCAGCGAGCTGGGTGCAGCAGTTGGGCCATGGGCCTCCGCCCCGCTCGCCAACAGCCGGCGTGCAATCTGGGCAGCGGCCTGGTTGCCAGAATGCTCAGCTCCCTGCAGCAGCAGCTGGCGCCAGCTTGCCGAGCTGCCGCCGCATCTGCCCCTGGACCTGGCTACCAACCGCGTGCCGTGCCCATGCATGGCTCCCTGCCGTGCCCGCAGGCGGTGACCATCCGGCTGGCGGGAGATGAGGCTTCTGACTTCCTGAACTTTGTGGTCAAGGATGAGGAGAGCGGGGCCTGGTACGACTTCAACGGCACCAACTTCCAGGTGCCGCTGCGCGCGCCGCCCATGGTGTCGGCGCCCATGCCCACCGCCATGCCCAACGGCAGCACCAACGGCAAGGCGGCCGCGGCGGCAGACCTGCCGCCGCTGCTGGCGCTGGACCAGATCCCGCAAGTGTCGCAGGTGGGCGGGGTGCTGCCGGGCGGGAATGTGTTGAATGAGGAAGCTGCTCTGCTCCCCGGACGGCGCTCCCTTGCACTCTGCTGGCTCGGTCCCTGATGCCGGGCTGCCCTGTGCCAATGGCACCCTGTACGCCCCGTACCACCGCAGGATCTGTCTGGCATCTGGGCGTACATCAAGTGGGAGGTGGCGGGGTGCCCCAACCGCTCCAAGGAGGAGGCGGACCGCGAGTATCAGGAGGGCATTGCGGAGCTGGTCATGCTGCTGCGCAGGTGGGGTGGGTGGGTGGCCTGCAGGGAGGGAGCGCAAAATAACAGTGGGCGAATGCATGCTGCTGCCATGTTCAGGTGGCATGGGTGCCGCTTGACGTCGCCCAGGCGGGCGAGCCCCACGCTGCTGCGCCTGATCTCGGCTGGCTGCTGCGCGTGCGCCTGGCCTGGGCTGCAGGGGCCGGCCGCTGGACGAGCTGTGGCGTGTGGCACGGGGCGAGATGAAGTACAGCGACTACATGCGGCAGAACAGCTACCTGCTGGCGCCACCTCAGCAGGCGGCGGCGCCGCCGAAGAAGACAAATGGCGCCGCCGCGCCGCCCGCGCCGCCGCCGCCGCAGGCCAAGCCGTCGGAGCCGGCTGTGTTCATCCCTCAGGAGCTGCTGGGGGTGCAGGCGTACCTTTTGTGGGAGCAGGCTGGCAAGCCTGACGGCGCAGACTTCGGGGACAAGGCTCGGCAGGTGTTGGAGGGGCGCATCCGTGGCGGCGCCTCTCTGGCAGACCTCGAGCGCGAGCTGCTGACCCCACCGGAGCAGCCGCAGCAGCGCGCGGCCGAGCCGAAGCAGAAGCGGAAGGAGCAGCAGCAGCAGCAGCAGCAGGAGGCCCCGCCGCCGCCGCCACCCGCGCCTGCGGCCGTGGTGGTGGGGCAGTCCATGGGGCAGCGGGCGCGCAACGCTCTGGACCTCATCCATCGCACCGTGGGCGCGGCAGTGATGCAGGCCAAGCCCAAGTACCTGCGCACCCCCATGACGGCGCTGGTGGAGGCGGCACAGGCCAACACCGGCGTGCACTGGTTCAGGGTGAGAGCACAGGGCACGGCCTTGGCAGGAGGAATGGGCCGGCATACCTCCACCCTGCCATGTCGTCCTGCCCGCAAGTGCATGGAATGGCCCTTGCCCTCGCCGCCAGCCCCGCCTCACCCCTTCCGCTGTGCTGCCTGCCCGTACTGCCTGTTGCAGCTGTACAATGTGGGCGACAAGCGGGAGATGCTTGCAACGGTGCACCTGGATGATCCCAACAACCCCAACGAGTCGCAGGTCACCGTGTCCCTCACCACCACCCTGTCCGACGGTGCGTTGCAGGCCACCCGGCTGCCAGGCGCAGGCTGATTCGCTGCTGAGCCTGAGCGGCAGCGCAGTGCAATGTGTGCAGCGGGCCATAGCCTGACTGAAAGTCCAGCAGCACAGCCGAGAGGCAACTCTTGCCTGTACTGACGCGCTCCCCATTCTCCTTGCCCCCGCGCTCCGCTGCTGCAGCGGTGCTGCACTGGGGCGTGAAGCAGGCGGGGCGCGGCAGTGACTGGCTCAAGCCCTCTGACAAGCTGCTGCCGCCTGGCACCCACCTGGCTGAGGGGAGCATCGCGGCGGAGACCCCTTTCCAGACCTGCTTCGGTGCGCCTGGCTCATGCTGGAGCCACCCCGCGCATGCACGAGTACTTGCTTCCAGCTACCAGCCAGCAGCCTGGATCCCTACCTGACCTGGCCTGCCTATCCCTGTCGCAGATGACGACTGTTATGTGGACTGGTCCAGCCTGGACTTTGAGCCGTCTGACTTTGGCGGCGCCATCGACCCGCTGCGCCGCATCAACCTGCAACTTCCCAAGGGCCACGGCCTGGCCGCCCTCACCTTTGTCATCCGCTCCGAGGACGGCGACAACTGGTGGCGCGACAACGGCAGCAACTTCACCATCCCGGTGCCGGGCTCTCGGGCTCGGCAGGCCAAGGACAAGGCGCTGGGCTTTGAGGACGAGCTGAGGTGAGGGCGGTACAGCTGGCAGTACAGCTGTGCGTGCCTGTCGGCGCCTTTGGTGCGCTGGGGCTGCTTGCTGTTTTGCCCGGCAGCCATTCTGACGTGCGCCGCTGTGCCATACCGAGGCGAGGCTCTTCCCTGCGTGCTGCCCTCCTCTGCAGCCGCATCATCGTGGACTGCGAGGTCAACACCGGCGCCTGGACGCTCATGCACCGCTTCAACAAGGCCACCGACCTGCTGGGAGACGTGATGGCGGTAGGTGGCGGCAGGATCGTGGGCACCACCGCATGCCTTGCCTGCTGACACCGAGGCCATGAGCAGAATGAGACAGGCTCTCCCTCGCTTCCGCCCCACCGCTGATCATGCTCCTGTCCTCCTGTCCTCCACTCCCTGCAGGGCCGCTTCTCCAAGGAGCAGAGCGTGGAGGACTCCATGGCTCGCATCTACGTCTGGCTGCGCTACAGCGCCGTGCGACAGCTCACCTGGCAGCGCAACTACAACACGCAGGTGCGGCGCGCCGCGCAGGGAATCCTGATGGCGCTGCTCGTGTGCGGGGCTGCACAGCCAGCACACTGCTTCTCGCTTGGTCGGTCAGCCATAGGGTCTGACCAGCCCCTCCGCCCTGCTCCGCCCCGCTCTGCCCGCAGCCGCGCATCCTGGGCCACGCTCAGGAGCGGCTGACGCACGCCATCGCCGACGCCTACGCCCGCACCAGTGGCCCCGCCCAGGAGTGGGCCCGCCTCATGCTGACCACCGTGGGCCGCGGAGGCAACGCGCAGGTGCGCCTGGCTGCCTCACAACCCCCTCTGCCGCGCACCGCATGTCCTCACCAATTTCACCCAGGGCGCTACCGGCTCCCTCACTCCTGCGTGTCCCTCCCATCTCCTGGCTGGCCCCGTGTGGCTTCCCGTGTGAGTGCAGGCTGTGCGTGACGAGATCCTCAACATCATGCACCGCAACAAGATCCCCGAGAAGAAGGGCACCTGGATGGAGGAGTGGCACCAGAAGCTGCACAACGTGAGGCGCCCAGCGCTGCGGCCATGCTGTGTGGCGCTGCCCGCAGGTTTTGCTGGCCCTGCCTGCGCGCTAACCCTTGACCTCACAGCTGCCACTCCGTCACTACACCACCACCACCACCTGCAGAACACCACCCCCGACGATGTGCCCATCTGCGAGGCTTACCTCGCCTTCCTGCGCTCCAACGGAGACCAGGGCGCCTACTGGAGCGTGCTGTCAAGTGAGGCGCCAGCACCAGCTGCTGAACCACCCTGGCAGGGCCAGGAATAGAGGGGAAGACTGCGGGCTGCCTCGTCCTGCACCTCTGCCGCGGCTCTGCCTGCAGCATGCCGTCGCCGCCGGCAACTAACCCTCCTCCCCCGCTTCCCTGCCCTGCTCCCCTGTCCTCCTGGGTGCGCAGATGCGGGCCTGACCCGCAGCATGCTCGAATCGTATGACCGCCCCATCAGGACCGACCCGCACTTCTTCCCCGACAAGAAGGCCTCGCTGATCGGCGAGTTTGAGAACTACCTCAAGATCCTCAAGGCGGTGAGCCCCGCGGCCCAGCTCAGCCAGCTGGTTGCTGGTGGCTGGGGTTGGGTGGCGAGGTGGTGGCGTGGTCCCCTACCACCAGCCCTCGCCGCCGGCACTCACCCCGTGCTGCCGCGCTGCTGCTCCCGCGCCCCGCCCCCTCCCGCAGGTCCACTCTGGCGCCGACCTGCAGGCCTCTGCGTCCGCCGCCTCTGGCTACGTGCCCGGCGGCGCCAAGGGCTACCTGGGCTATGTGCTGGCCAACTCCAACGGCCACGAGATCCTGCCCATTGTGGAGGCCTCGGTGGAGGCGCGCGCCGAGCTGGCGCCCGTGCTGCGCAACAGCCGCGACGTGCTGTACCTGGACCTCGCCCTGGAGACGGTGGTGCGCAGCGCGGCGGAGCGGGGGGTGGGCCACGCGGGGCCGCGCGCCGCCGCGCTCATCGCGCCGCTGCTGCAGAACCTGGCGCTGAGCCTGGGGGACAACGAGGAGGTGTGCTACTGCCTCAAGGCCTGGCAGGACCTGCCCCACTCCGTGCGCTTCGGCGAGGGCTTTGGAAAGGACGACGCGCTGCGGGTGGGTGCGGGGCTGGAGGCTGGGGGCAGCTGGGGGAGCTGCGGGGCATGGGGCCGTAGCTGTGGCTTGGCCGGCTTGCTGCTTTGCATTGCGTGGAGCCCGCTTCGCTTGCTGGATACTCTGCTCTGCCACGTCGCTGCTCGCGCCATGCCGGGCGTCGACCTCCCCCCACACACACCTGCCCCGTACTGCGCCCGCAGGCCATGGCGGTGATTGAGCGCGTGCGGCGCGCGCTGGCGTCTGTGTCGGACTACGTCAGCCAGACCGTGGGGCCCGTCAGCCAGCAGTTTGGCCAGGCCTTTGGCTGCGAGCCGTGGGCCGTGACGGTGCGTCCTGCTGCTCATGTTGTGTGTGATGGGCACAATGGTGACCTGCACCGCTTGCCAGCTGTCTGCATGATGACACCACCGTCTGCCGCTACCTGCTAATCCCCCTGTCTGCCTGCCTGCCCTCCTGCCCGCCCGCCTACCTCTGCCTCCCTCCCTGCAGCTCTTCCCCGAGGAGGTGGTGCGTGGCGGGCCCGCCTTTGCCGTCAGCCTGGTGCTGAGCGCGGCGGAGCCCCACTTCCGCCAGGTGGCGGAGCTGGGCGCGTGGCAGATCATCTCGCCCGCATCCTGCTGGGGAAGGCTGGAGGTGGTGCCAGACCTGCACGGAATCCAGGAGAAGGTGGGCGGGGCAGGGCGCGGTGGCGCGAGGCAGGCCACCGGGCAGGCGGGCAGCCGCAGCACGGGGACGCACGGCATGCGCGCATGGCTGCCCCTCCTGCTTTGCCGTCCCGCTTGTGGTGCCCCGCTGGACTGGTTACTGACAGGCTTGCCCCACCTCTTCATTTGCCGCCCCACCCCAGGTGTACTCTGAGCCCACTGTGCTGCTAGTCAAGCACGTGAGCGGCGAGGAGGAGGTTCCGCTGGGCGTGGTGGGCGTGCTGAGGTGGGCAGGGCTGGGGCTGGCGCTGGGAGGGGGGCATGCTGTCTAAAAGGATGGGCTGGGAGTGCAGCCATCACGCTCCCGGCCCGGCTGTCCCTGTCGCCTGCACCCCGCGTGCGCCAGCCCGTGCCGCTCCTGCTGACTGATCAAGTCACACGCCCCGCCTCGCCTCCTGCCCCTGCCCCTGATGCCGTCGTGCAGCGGCGACACGTGCGACGTGCTGGCCCACCTGAGCGTGCGCTCCCGCAACATGCACGTGCTGTTTGCCACCTGCTACGATGCCAGCCAGCTGGGGGACCTGGAGGCCATGGCTGGGAAGATGGTGGCTTGCGAGACGACGCCCGCGGGCTCGGTCAAGTGGCGGGAGGCGGACGCGGCGGAGGTGGCGGCGCATGCGGCAGGTGCGCGCCAGGCGGCTGCCGTGTTGAACGACACCACGCCGGGCTCCCCTGCCCCTCCCAGTGTTGTGCAGCAGCGTCTGCCAGCCCGGCCACCCCAAGCGCCTGCGCTGCCGCCCAGTGTCTTAGAGACTCTGTGATGTGCCTGCTGGTGCAGATGACGCGGGCGCGGCCGCCAAGCGCGGCCCCATCCGTGTGAACATCCCCAAGTGGAGCGGCAAGTGGGTGGTGGGCATGGATGGCTTCCAGGACGGGGTGAGCAGCCGCCTGCGGATTGCAGCTGGCTGTGCCTGGATGCGCCTGCGGCACCCCGATGCCGCTTCCTCCTGATGCAAGGAAGGTTCAGGAAGGGGGCAGCCCAGGCGCTGCCGTTGTGGTGCCTGCTCATCTCCCCGCCTCCTGATCTGCCACCTGCTCATGGTGTACCCCTCCCACCCACCCCACCTGTGCAGGTTGTGGGCGCCAAGTCCAAGAACCTGGCCGGCCTGCGCGGCAGGCTGCCAGACTGGATCAGCCTGCCCTCCTCCTGCACGGTGGGTGGCGCTCGGGGGCCTGCCCGCCTGCCGTGCTGCCCGCCTGCATGCCTTGGCCTGCCTTCAAGCCGTGGCCAGGCAGCTGCCAGTGCGCCTTCTTTGGTGGTCGCACCAGCTAAACCGCGGCTCGTGCCATGTGCTGTGCTGTACTGTGCTGCTGAATGCAGGTGCCGTTCAGCACGTTTGAGGAGGTGCTGAAGCGGCGGGAGAACCGCGGGCTGGCGGGCGACCTGGCCAAGGCCATCAAGGCGGTGCAGCCCGGCGACGGCGCGGGTCTGGCGCTGGCGCGCTGCCGCGACCTGGTCATGCAGACCCCGGTGCCCGAGGAGCTGCAGAACGCGCTGCGCCAGGCGATGCGCGACGGCGGCATCCCGGTGCCTGAGGGCGAGCAGTGGAACGACGCGATGTGGGCGCTCAAGGTGAGGGGCGCGCCCGCCCTGCTGCTCCTTCCCGCACGCTTGCTGCTGCGCCAGGCAGCCCATTCCCCTGCCGCGGCCAGCCCAATGCGGCCCGCCCCTGCTGCTGGCAACCAACCGACCTTTCCCGTGCCTCCCTCCCTCCCTCCCTCCCTCCCCCTGCCCTCCCCCTCCCGCAGTCTGTGTGGGCCAGCAAGTACAACGACCGCGCCTACGTGTCCACCCGCAAGGTCGGCATCAACTTTGATGACGTGCGCATGGCGGTGCTGTGCCAGCGCATCGTGCCCGCGCAGGTGAGGCGGGTTGGCCTGGCCTGTGGCAGGCTCTGGCACTCGGCCGGAGGGCTGGTGTGAGGACCTGGCTGGCTGGGGGCTGGCTGGGGCATGGCAGGCCAGCCCGGCGGCTAGCTGCGGCTGTCCTGGCCGCCGGCGGAGCCACCACCACCAACAACAACACCACCAACAACAATGCCGCTGCCGCCGCCGCCCCCGCCCCCCGGCAGTACGCGTACGTCATCCACACCACCAACCCCACCAACGGCGACGCGGGGGAGATCTACTGCGAGCTAGTGCTGGGGCTGGGGGAGGCCATTGTGTCGGGCACGGTGCCGGGGGCCGCCCTCACCTTTGTGGCGCGCAAGGACGACATGGACAACCCGCGCGTGCTGCTCTACCCCTCCAAGAGCGAGGGCATGTTTGTGGACGAGAGCCTCATCTTCAGGAGCGACTCCAACGGCGAGGACCTGGAGGGATACGCGGGCGCAGGTGCGGGAGCAGCGGGGCGGAGCAGCGGGGGTTGGAGGAGTGGGCTGTGCGCTGCTGTGTTCAGCGCTCGGCCGCTGAGGTGGTCTGCCGGCCGGCTGCCTGGCCACACTCCCTCCCACACCTCCCTCTCCCCCCTGCCTTCTCACACACCTGTACCGCCGCCGCCGCCGCCGCCCCACCCGTACCGCAGGCCTGTACGACTCTGTGACCACCGCCACCACTGTGCGCCGCAAGGTCGACTACTCCTCCGACCCGCTCATGACCGACCCAGAGTTCCGGGGGCGCCTCATGCGGGACATCTGCCGCGCGGGGCTGGCCATCGAGCAGGCGCTGGGGTCGGCGCAGGTGGGCGGGAGGGGCGCGTGTGTGTGTGGGCGGGAGGGCCAGGTGGTAGCAGGGCCCCGCACTGGCTCGCCTGGGACTGGTGGGTGGCCGCTGGCAGCGGTGCTGGCATGCCAGGGAACATGCAGCTGCCTGCCTGCCCACTGCCCACACCAGCTGACCCGGGCCTCCCGTGCCTGCCTGCCTGCGCGCCCTTTGCAGGATGTGGAGGGCGTGGTGGACAGGGAGGGCAAGGTGACTGTGGTCCAGACTCGGCCCCAGATGTAAACCCGGGACACTCTACGCCTTCAGCACCTCTTCAGAGCACGCAACCCATGCGCCTACAGCGCCTACAGCCCTTGTTTCAACTTTGTCCCTGTACCTGCAATCTATGAATGACCGGCGGTCGCCAGCTGGCACTTCCAAACGCATGCACCCACCTGTGATACTACTGTTTTTTATGTGGCCACGTTCCTTCTGTCGAGCCTGAGCTTGACTTATTTTTAGTGAAGTCCCCTTCCTCCTTCACCAATGCACGCGCTGGTGAAATTCCCTTGCAATCCCCATTTCTTGCTTCCCGTTTGGCTTTTCCTCATTCCGCATGGCATGTGATTTTCAGCAGACCAATTCCTTCTCTTTGCAGTCTTGCATTCTGAGGCAAGTCCCATTGTAGCGGGTTTCAGTAGTGAGTTCGGGCTAGTAACAAGTTCCTTGCAATCACCAATCAGGGCCCAGCGCGCCAGGAACCACTGCGGGCTGAGCCAAGCTAGTTTGGAGCGGCGGCGGGAAGGCTGGCCTGCACCTGCCGCAGCGCCTCGGCTACGCGGAATGGATCCGTGTGGCCGATACTGGCCCCGCCAAACACCTCCAGCCCGCCAAAATCGCTCGCCAGGTTGCTGAGGCGACCCCGCCCGACGACTCTCGCCACCACCGGCACCGGCATGCCCCGCGGGGGCGGCAGGTAGCCGTCGTTGACCGCTGCGCCGTCCCCGCTGCCGCCGCCGTCCCCGGCTGCGTGCGGCAGGCGGATGTTGTGGATGGAGGCGTTGAAGGTGCGCACCCCTAGCTCATCAATCAGGGCCCGCAGCGCGGTGTAGAGGAGGCGCTGGAAGGCGGGGCTGTCCATGCTGCTGCCGTGTATACAGACCTCCATGTCCTGCAGCAGATAGAGGCCTGGGTGTGTGGAGGTTGGGCACAGCCCACCTGCCAGGTTGCACTGATGCACGAGCCAGTTCTCCCCCGCTCGTGGTGCGTGTGCAAAGGGGCGCGCCCCGTCGCCGCGCCGCCCCGCGCCGCCCCGCCCAGCCGCACCTTCCAGGGCGCCAAGCTGGCAAAGGCGAACGCAAAGTCGCCTTGGCTGCCCTCACGCAGCAGCAGGCCCACATCCTCGTGCGCCGCCAGCACATCCTGCACGCATGACACACATGTGACCAACAGGGGCACCAGTGAGGGCCACAGGGGAGCCTGCGCTGGGGGGCAGCTGCAGGCAGACGCCGGGGCCGAAGGGCAGGTGCCCTCCAGCTGCGCGGTACGGTACCTGGTAGTACCCACGGCTGTTGGTGCCGTGCGTGAAGTCGTAGCCAGCCACTGACTCGGCCTCCTGCTGGAGGGTGGGGAAGGGCGCGTCTGCCAGCATGACCTGGGCGTGGCCGTGGTACTGCAGGAAGGGCAGGACAGCATATGTGTGTTTGATTGCCAGAACAGGGGCAACATTATATACATGCACACACACATACACATACAAAAATGGCCAGCCGCCAGCCATCCACGCACCTGGCTGGCGCCGCCACGCGGCAGGCAGTTCCACACAAACTGCAGGGACAGCCAGGGGCGGGGGCGGGGCGGCAGATGCGGCTGGAGGAGAAGCACCCACAGACACGCCACACACTCAAAGCTGTTGCCACCGGGCCACTGGATGCAAGTCAGGAAGGGGCTCCCTTCCCCACCCACCAGCGGGTGCAGCTGGCGGTGCGGCAGGCCCAGCGCAGCGTCCTGCTGCGCCTGGTGGGCGGCCGCTTGCTGGAACCACTGGTGCGACACCGACACCAGGTCCTGCAGCTGCTCCAGGCTGAAGCGCAGCGGATCGTGGTGCTTGAACATGATGACGCCTGCGCAGCGGCGGCAGCGGGCAGCCGGCACCACGGTCGAGTCGCCGTCGGCCAACCAGCATGCCTGTCACTCTCCCAGCTGCCGGTGCTCCCCATCACGTGGACACACCACGAGCCTCCGTCTCTCGATGGCAGCTGGCGGGCGGGACCTCAGGGACCGCACTCAAAGCGGGGTCCCCGCAGACCCCCGCCAACTCACCCTGCTGCGGCTTCACGTATTTGAACAGGTTGCTGGCGCTGACGGCGTGCGGCCCCTCCACCCTCCCCCACGTGTCCTCCGCCGTCAGCTGCTGCCAGTTGCAGAAGTCGCAGGCACCGCTGCCTCCGGGGGCCAGCGGGTCGAACGCCGCCGCTGCATCCGCCGCGGCCGCTGCAAAGGTCTGCGGCTTCTTGGTGCGGTCCTCATTGAACCAGCACTGCGCCAGGGTGACGCGGTTGGATACCCGCAGCACCGCCTGGCTGTTCTCCTCGGCCACGCCTGCAGGGATGGCGTGGCAGGGCCGTGTGGCATCGCCAGCACAGGGGCTGGCTGCAGTGGACTGGATGCCCCGCGTTTCAGGGCGGCGCACACGCAGCAACATGCGCTCTGGACTGGGCAGGCGGGCAGGCGCTCACCGTACTTGGCATGCAGCTGCGGGGAGGCCTTGCAACGTGCATGGCCGATGCTGAGCTCAAACAGTCGGTTGAAGGCGGCAGAGTTGGGCACGGAGCGGGCCAGTTCGAACACCGAGGTGTACTTGGGCAGGCTGGCCGCTACCGTCATGGCTCTCCTGCCGCTGAAGAGTGGCGGCGGCAGGCGGCAGCGGTGGCCGACGGCGGCGGCGGCAGCCCTCGTGTTGTTCGGCGTTGAGGCAATTGAGCAATGCTATGGCCCGAGGCAATGTGCAATCGTCTCAAGGCCCGCTGCAAGCCCTGTTGTGGAGTCGGGAGTGCAGTTGGTAAGTGTGGCAGGCGATGGCGTGTTCTGCAGTGCACGCTGCAACATGCGCATCCAGTTGATGATCGATGCAAGCCAGGGGAACTATGAAAACTCGCAGGGCGAAGTACACAGCGCAGGACACAGGAGTTGGAGCTTTGCGCCTGTATGCCTGCAAAATCGACCCTTTGCCCATTCAATTGGCGGGTGCAGGACACTGGCACAGCCCTCAGCCCAATGCCTGCCCCCCTCCCTCCCAACAGCACCCTCCTCCGTGGCCTGCTGCCCCTGCTGGTGCTCCTGGCGCTGCCCACCGCCAGCTGGGAGCACGGCACCGCTGGCAGGGCGCTGCTGCAGAGCGCCGCGCCCCCGCCGCCGCCGCCCCGCAGCACCCAGGGCCTGCCGCTGGACGCCATCCAGCTGCCGCCCGGCTTCTCCATCGAGCTCTACTCCGACGACAGGTTCCCGGCCCGCTTCCTGGATGTGGCAGAGGCGGGGAACGCCACCGTCGTGTTTGTGTCATCCACCAAATCTGTGGTGACGGCCCTGGTGGACAGAGGCGGCAGCGCGCCCGTCCAGGCGTGCACGCTGCTGGATGGGCAGGACGGCCCCAACGGCATTGCCTATGACCCCTCCGCCCGCTCCCTGTACGTGGCCGAAGTGCGGGCCATCACCCGCCACGACAACGCACTCGCCTCGGCCCTGGCGGGCTGCGACCGCAGCCTGCTCCGCTCCAGCGCGGTGGCCAACGCCAGCCTGCTGCCGCCACAGGCCAGCCACTCCAGCCGTGCGCTGGCCATCGGCCCGGCAGACGGCCTGCTGTACTACACAGTGGCGGCGCCCTTCAACGTGGATGTGTGCAGGGACCCGTACTGCACCATCCACCGCATCGCCAAGAACGGCTCGGGGCATGGCATTTTTGCACGAGGTGGGCTCGCACAGCCGCCGAGCTGGGCGCAGCTGCCCGTGGCAATCGCTTGCTTTCGCTGCTGCGCCCTCCCCCGTGCTGACGCCCCCAGCTCTCCGTGGCGGCCCTGCTCACGCCTTGCCCTACACGCTGCTGCAGGCATCCGCAATGCTGCCGGGTTTGACTGGGTCCAGGGGCGGCTCATGTTTGCGGGCATGGAGAGGGATCGCATGGGCAACGACCTTCCCGACGACATCCTGGGGCTGGCAGACCCAGCCACGCCAGGCGTGGACTACGGCTGGCCGTACTGCCACTGGTGCGGTACCATGTGGCAGGCTGCCTGCTGCGTGGCGCCGAGCTGTGGCTGTGCTCTGCTGTTCTTGCTGCGGCAACCTGCTGGCTGGGGTTTAAACCATTGGTGGATGTGAGGGGGACCATGACAACCTGCCTGCATGGGCTGGGCTGCTGTTGTAGGGTCGGGGATGGCCCTCCCGAGCTGCGGGAGCCAGGCCCGGGTCGGATCATCCCTGACCCAACTGTCTTCCCGCCGGGTGTGGGCCCATCTGTTGATGTGCTGACGCAGCGCTGCAAAGGTGAGACCAGCATGCCATCTTGGCTTGCACAGATGTGTGCAATGCTTGGCGCCAGCTGGCATGAAGGACTGCGGGCAGCTGCACAGGCCGCCCCACGTGGCGACCTCGGTGCCTCCCTGCCACAGAAGTGGCGGTGCCGCCGGTGCAGGCCCTGGGCCCGCATGTGGCGCCCCTGGGCGTGCTGTACTGGACTCCGCCCGTGACGGCTGCCGAGGCTGATGGCGCATCCTCTGGGCAGCGCCAGCAGTGGCCGGCACAGTATGATGGCGGCGTGTTTGTGGGAGAGCATGGGTAGGCAGGCTGCTGCGGGTTGTCGCTTGACAGGTGTCATGGGCCGGGCTGCCGGCTGCAGCTGTGCGCCCACCCTACGCCCATCTTGTTGCCGCAGGTCTTGGGACCGCGACGTGCCCATCGGCTACAGGATTGCCCACGTGCAGCTGTCAGAGGATGGGCGCACGGCGGTGGGGCACTCCATCTTTGCCGAGGGCTGGCTGGGCTCGGATGGCAAGAAATGGGGCCGCCCCGTGGGACTGGCCAGGCTGCCAGATGGTTCCATGCTGGTGGCAGACGACAAGGCCAACACCGTGTACCGCATCTCGTACGACGGCACGGCTGGCGGGGCAGGCGCAGCCTCGTCCCCATCCCCGCCACCGCCCACGCCCGTGGCCAGTGCGGGCAGCAAGCTGTTGGCGAGCCCGCTGCTGATGCTCCTGTTTGTTTATGCCATCTTTTGCCTGGGTCTGTAATACATGTCCAGAGTTGTCAGACTGTATGCTCTCTACCGTTTGATTTCTGTGGAGCGAGCGGCAGCGCCAGGTCGCGCCGCGTCGCCGCCGCCTTGCGTGCTCCACCTCTGCATTTGGCCGGCTGAATGCAGAGCCTCCTCCCCGCCACGCATCATGTTGAGCCGCAGCCCAACTGCGCCTCTACAGCGCCTGCTCAGCAGGGTAGCACCCCGTCCTCGCAGGACACGCCGCCTTGCGTGCTGTGCCTCGACCGGCTTTAAAGCACGATGGAGCCTGGATGTAAAGTGAGCCCCGCTGCTTCAATTGGTTGAGAGCAGACTGCTCTGGAACCCTCATCTCCGCTCCTGGGCGCTGTGTGGCTTTGTCGATGCCGTGGTCGCCGGGTCGAGGCTGCTGTAGCATTCAGCAGCTGCCCATGACCATGCGGCACCACCTAGCCCTGCCGCCCCGCCGGTGCCGCACGCACCACTGCTTCCTGCAGGTTTGGCGGCAAGATGGAAGCCGTCATGCTGCTGCAAGAGTGGGTGTCCACCGTGGGCGCGGCGGCAGGGCTGACGCCGGCAAACACGTCGCTGGGCACGGGCAGGTGTGTGTCATGGTGCCATTCATCCGCCAGCATGCCGCCCTCTGTACTGCTTTTGCTCCGGGACAGGGCGCTGAACCTGTGTTCTCACCACTTGCCTGCAGCATTGGTGCCCCTGAGAGCACCCTGGAGCTGGAGGTGTCGTTCAGCAGCCTGGGAGAGCTGGAGGAGTTTTGGAGCAGTATCCCGCAGGTGCGACTGAGGCACCTGGCTGGCTGCCGCAACAAAGCCACCCTCGTGCCAAGCCCGCTTCATCCACGCCATCCTTTTGATGTGCCTTTCCTGTGCAGGCACAGCACAAGGCGTGGGGACAGCGCATGCAGCAGTTCATAGTGCACGGTAGTCCGCAGTGGCAGGTCTACCGCTGCCTACCTGCCTTCCCCGACGCAGCACCACCCATGGCAGCGGCGGCTGCCGGCGGCGTACGCACCAGCAGCGGCGGCGTGCCCAGCAGCAGAAGCAGCAGAAGCAGCAGCAGCAGCGGAGCAGGCGGCCTGGTGGTACCGAGCATGGAGGAGGTTGGAAAGTATGCTACAGAGGCCGACTTTCCAGCTGCGCTGCCCGCCACGCAGCAGCAGACGGCCAGCGGGCTGTCAGTGGTGAGCAGCGAGGAGGAGGCGGAGGCGGTTCTTGACTGGAAGGGCGACCCCATGAGCGTCAACCCGGGCGACAAGATGCCATTCAAGTTTTTGTGACGTGCGGGACAGGAACGGCCGCTGTGCCAGTACCGCCGCCTCGGCAGTGCTGCGTGCAGGCAGCAGTGTCTTGCAGTTGTGACCCATTTATTTCATTATGCGCCACCATTTACAGCTCCCTCAACATGCAATTGAACACATCAGCAGCAGCAGCGATAGCCTTTCGTGCCAAAGGCCTGCCTTGCGGCCTGGCCCGGCTGAGGGCTCCTGCCTTCCCCTCTTGTTCACTTGCCGTGCTGCTTGGGCTGGCCACGGGTCACAGTGTCCAGGTGCTTGCTGTGGCCGCGGCCGGTGGCCTGGAAGTCGTTGGTGCGGTGGTGGCTGTCCATGCGCTTGTTGGCGGCGGTGGAGGTGCCCTGCCAGCTGGCGCGGTTGTAGTCCTGCAGCGGACGAGCAGAGCCAACAGTTGGCAGCCAAGCGTGGGCTCATTCTGTCAGCTTCACCAAGCAGCGAGGAGCGGGCTGGGCTGTGGTTTGTCATGCAGTGGCATCACTGGATCCCCACCATCACATCCTTGCGGTTCAGCGCATCCTCGCCGCCGTGCACCTTGGCCATCTCCTGGGGAGGCATGTGTGGACGGGGCGGAGGGGAGCGGGCACTGCGAGTTGCAGGCGTGCGAGCCAGCGACGGTTTGTGTAGTGGGAGGAATGGCCGCATTCTCAGCGACTGCACCGAGCAACCAGAGCCTGCTTGCAGACACAGCAAGCACACATGGCCCACTCAACCGACCGAACCAGCACAGCCTCACCCTCATGTGAGAGTCGCGCTGCACGATGCCCATCTCGCTGGGGTCGGTGGGGTGGGAGCGCTGCACGTCGTGGCTGGCGGGGTCCACTTTGAAGTGGTGCCTGAGGCAGGGAGCAGGTGGGCAAGCTCACGAGTGTGGCGGAAGCGGCAGCAAGGGGCAGGGCATTCCCTTGCCCAGTGTGCTTGTTTGTGTGCAGCGGGTGAGCCACACAGTGCCATTTCCAGGCCACTCACTCTGGCGCCGCATCCACTTGCTTGCCCTCTGGTACTGGGTCGGTCGTGTCGCCGATGCGGGCGCGCGCCTGCCGCGGCAGGTTGCTGCTGGCTGCACGGCGGCGCGGGCGGCAGGGAGGCGGGCGGGCAACTCATGACCGCCCCGCGGCGCTGCTGCTGTGGCGAGGAGGCCTTGGAGGCAAGAAGCTGGCCAACAGGCGCACCTGCAGCCTTGCTGACCGGGTTGGGAGGCTGCCTGCCCTCGTCCTCCATGGCTGGTAGCTGTAGCTGTAGCGTGTAGCTGTGGAGGCAAATACCAGGAGAGGAGACAACAAAGAAGAGACGAACATGAAAAGAAAAGTTGGGCCTGCCACCTGGGCATCTTCTGGGCCCCTCTCTGCACCCAAGGTCTTGTGTCTCTCTAGGCCTCCATCCAGAGCCTTGGACAGCCAATCTGCACACAAGTACAGCAGCAGGCACCATGAGCGGAGCGTGGAGCCTGAGGCACAGCAGCGAGGTGAGGTTGTGGCACAGCCAGGAAGCCAAAATACTGACCTTGCTGCGTCACTGTGTGCCGTGGGGGCGGGCGTGGTGCCGCTCCATGCTCAGGTTGGGCCGCTGCGGCGGCTGTAGCCGGCCCGTCGCCACCCCTTGCCAAGCATGTGCGCCCCTTCCCAGCACCGCAGGACCGGCCCCCCTCCAAGCCCAGGTCGCCCACCTGCCACGAGTCAGGCCGCCTGTCGCGCACCCGCATCGACGAGAAGCACCAGGAGATCCCAGACAGGGAGGCGGAGCGGCTGGCTGCGAAGATTGTGTCGGTGAGCCGCCGGTGCATAACTGCGTGTAACCTCGATTGATGTGCAACGCAGCGCAATGACCTGCTTGCCGCCGCCACCGCACCGTGTGCCCGCTCGCCTCCCTGCGCACCCCTCGGCGCAGGTGGGTGCCGACTACCAGGACAAGAAGAGCCGCGAGCGGTTTGGGGACGAGTGGCAGGCCAGCGACAACGCGGCGCCCACGGTAGGCGCACGGGGTGGGGCCACGACGGTGTGGCTTACGCGTGGCGGCTGTCAGATGCCACAGCCAGCATGACGCGCCGCTGCCGCGTGCTGTATGATGCAGATTGATGCTGAGAGCATCGCAAACAAGCTCATGGCAAGTAGTAGCTGGCTTGCTGCACAAGGATCTATGTCTGCCACACTCCTGCTCATGTTCATTGCAGCCCTGTGCTGTGCTGTGACCGTCACCTGTTGTGCTACCTTCCGCGCAGAAGGAGGCGGCGCGCGAGATGACCCGCGCCTCTGCAAAGCATAATGACGGGCAGGTAGTCGCTCCCCCAGCTGTGCAGCTGAATCACCCGCAGCATCCCCCGGCTTTCTCTGGCCTGGTCGCAGGGATAAGCCCACCCATGGCCATTCCTGCACTGCTGCCGCTCACTGCCTGGCAGGTGTTCCCTGGCAGCGACGCCGCCAAGGCGGAGGCTGTGTATGCTCAGCGCAACGACCCTGATGCCCCCCTGCACAAGGTGGCGCAGAAAGGTGGGGCCTGCCATGCTGTCCAACGGTGCCGGGGGCGCCTCCATTCCCGCTGGCACAGGCAGCTCTCCAAGGCATCTGCAGGAGCAGGGCATGCCGCAGGCATTGCATTAACCGCTTGCTGCCCCCCTGTGCAGTGCGTGAGAAGATGGCGGCTGCCGAGGAGCGCGCAGTGCACCCCAGCGACTTTGTGGGAGTCCACCCCAGTGAGCCTGTGTGGCAGCAACCAAGCGGATAGGGTGCCAGCACAGCATTGACCTGCATGGCAGCCCTATCAGGCACTTTATGCACAACATCCTGCATCGCTGCCAGCTGCTCAATTTTCTCCACACGTGCTGCAGATGCGCGGCGGGGCGAGCGTACCCCAGATGTGCTGAGGGAGTGAGCACCCCAGACACAAAAACAGCAATGTTGGGTTGTTTTCCAGAGCCTGGGCAGGCGTTGCATTGACCTGTTTTGTTGCTATTGCAAGCTGGATGAAACGGAATGATAGAAGGCGCGTGAAAAACTGAAAGGCCGCATTGCGGTAGAAGAGACAGACCCCAGAAGAGCAGGTGGTGGATGCATGGAGGGCACATGGCAGCAGGAGAACAGTCACGTGCTGCGGTGGAAAAGGTCAGGTGCATCATGAAAACAGTGGAGCTGGAGAGAGCAGCACACATGTGCTGTGTGCCAGGGACAAACAAAGCAGGGGGCCACAAACAAGGGAGCAGAAAGGCCCCGACGAAAATATGTATAGACTGTAAAGTGGGGCGACGTGATGCCACTAGGTTTTGAATGGCACACAGGGCTGAGGCCTGAATGACTCGCTCAATGGGGGACTGTGCTAGCTGTCACGTGGTGGTGGCATGCCTGTCACGTAGAGCATGGGCCTGGCTGATGTGAGCAGCAGGTGCGGGCTGGGGCTGGGGCCCGAGGCTCAGAGTGTAGGGGCAGCAGGGTGCATGTCCAGCTGGTGAGGCTCAGAGTGTAGGGGCAGCAGGGTGCATGTCCAGCTGGTGCATCTTGCGCCGTGTCTCCCGCGCCTGCCGCCACTCGCTGCCGCCGCTCAGGCTCAACTTCAGTGTGGTGATCGTGCTCTGCCGCCTGCAGCATGCATGGATGCCAGGCACAGTTGGGTGGCATGGCCACACGGGCCCAGCAACTGTATGCCTGGCATGCCTGCCACAGCAACCAAAGTCAGGGGCCACCCACCTGACTGGCATCCACGTGTTGGGCCCCAGGAACGCCAGGTTCACCTCCCGGTGTGTCATCGTCTTGGCAGGCGAATACCGCTGGAACCTGCGGTACAGAGGTACAGCTACCCCGCGGTGAGACGGAGACAGTCGCGGGCAAGAAGCAGCCGAGACGGGGAGGTCAGGAAGCGCACGCAGACAGCCTGCCATCAGTGTTCAGCAGAACCACCAGTGAGCAGCGGCGGCATGAAACAGTACCCGGGACAATCCACAGCGACAGTTGCAAAAGCTGCACTGCCCCCGGCTACGCGTGCAGTCAGGTTGGGGCGGGCTAGCTCACCACATGAAGGCGTCTGACGTGGCGATGTTGACGGAAAAACCAAAGTGGTCGGCCACCGCCCGCAGCATGAGCTCATCGCCGGGGGTGCCCGCCTGCGCCATGCCGCTGCAGCAAGGCAGCCAGGAGGGCCAGGCAGTGGCGGAAGACTGTCGAGCAAATGCCAGCAGCAGGAGGGCAGGCCATGCCTCGGCCAACGACTCCAGCAGTCGCCCAGCTAACTCCATCACAGGCGTGCTGCCACCAGAGATGCCCCCCCCACCTGAGGTAAGACTCCCAGTCATCCCCCAGGAAGCAGCTGTACTCCTCGGGGTGGTTGGCCGCGTAACCCACCCCCAGCGCTCGCAGCGTGGGCCCAAACACCGCCGTGCCCCACAACGCCAGCGACAGCGCATCAAACAGCGAGTTGGCGGCTGCAAACAGAGGGCAGGGAGCAGGGGCACGGAAGGTGAGCAGGGCCACACGCTGGGAAAGCCGGGTGGTGCTGCAGCAGCGCTGGGTGATTCAGCGCCGGCAGCTGAGGCTTGCCAGCTTGAGGCCGTCTTCCCCACCCACCTGCGCAGCCCTTGAAGGCAACTGCCTCCAGTTTCGCTACCAGCAGGCGCTGCTGCAGCCGCTTCTCCGCTGCTGCGGGGTCGCTGCGCGCCACCATGCGCTCTACGCGATTTTCCTGCCGCATGGCACTCTCAAAGGCAGCACGGGCGTCGCGCCAGCCAAACCCTGCACCGCCGCCAGGCCAGCGAGTGGGGCCCACTTCAGGTGCAGGCAAGGGCCACAGCTTCAGGTGCAGGCACACTGCCCAGCAGCAGTTCAGGGGGACTGCAACTCTGCGCGCTGACAGGTCTGCACCAGTGGAGTGTTGGAGGAGCAGTGGCGTGGCTGTCCACCCCTGGACAGCAGCAGCAACACAGGCAAGTGTCACGCACCAGAGCGCCGGTGTGGGAATGCTCGCAGGCGCCGGAAGTGCGACGAAGCTAAGGCTGCCGGCGAGCTGTCGCTGCTGTTGCAGCCCGCGGGGCTCCTGGTGCCGCTGCCATCTCCCGCCCCTCCGCTGCTGGTGCCCCTGCTGCTGCTCCTGCTCAAGCTGCCTCCCGCGCTGCTGCCGCTGCCGCTGCTGCTGCTGATGTGGATGGTGTGGGGCTCTGCCGCTCCGCAGTTCACCGTCGCCTCGTCCAGGTTGCAGACAAAGGCGGTGACTTGCTGCGCTAGGGCATCAAACACGGCATTCTCCTGGGTGATGCGTGCCAGGTCATTCTGGACCGTCAGCTGGTGCCGCCACTCGGCGTCATCCGCCTGCCGGTTGCCAAACGACGGGTGGCTCAGCAGCGTGGCGCGTCCGAAGGCTAAACATGCCATGCTGGGATGGCTGCTGCGCTGCTGTGCCTGCAGGGAGGGGAAGGTGGCGGCAGCGTTAGGCGGTGGGCAGCGGGAGGGGCCGCGGCGGGCTTGGCACCCCTGCCTCATGGCCCTCGCGTGGGCGTTGCGTCACCAGCCATGGCTAGGAATGCACAGCAAGTTGGCAGCGACGCCGGCAGAGGAGGCACACAAGAGGGCCCACGGGCCGCGTCCCTCGCAGCGCCCCACGCCCTCCCAACCATGTACCATCGATGCACTGTCGGCGGCAGGCAGTGCCGCCCCTCGGGAGCAGGCAGGGGACACGAATGGACATGGCACAGAGGGAAGGAACTGCGCACCTTGCAGATCCCACTACAATTGGCTAGAGGTCAATACCATTGTAGAGCAGTTTGCGAATGGGGCCTAGCCAGCAGCAAGAGCCCTGGGCTCCACCGCTCACGCGTGTGGCTGGCTGGACCTGGTGCAAACAAGCACTTTGGTGACGACCCGGTGCAATGATGCCGCTGATTGCCCGCGGGCGTTGGGGGGCGGCCGGCGGGCGGTACTCGTTGCAGTACAGCCCCATTTCCTGAACCTGCGCGCCCCTCGCGTGCGTCGTCAATGCGCTCCTTCCCGAAGGCTTGTATATGCATTCGGGGAAGTGCAGGCGCTTCTGTCGGCAACCAATCAAGAGGCCCTCACCCGCTCACGCACCGACTCGACGCCGCCCCGCCCAGGAGGCGACTCATTGGCAGCAACCGCCGCCGTAGGCATCCCTGGCATCCAGGCCCTGGGCTGAGCACAGCAGGCCCGGTGGCGGCGTGCGACGAGCGACGACGAAGCGGTGTTTAAAGAAGGGCATGCCCGCTGGCGGCGAGGAGCGGCGGCATGGCCGGCGCCCACGTGCCGCGACCCAGCACCCGACCCCCAGCGCTCGGGGCGCGGCCACGGCCGCTGCGGCTGCCGCCAGCGGCGGCGCTGCACCGGGGCGTGCCCTGAGCGCCGACTTTGCTCAGCTGGTGCAGCAAGGGGGCCCGCAGGGCTGGGACTCGCTCCCCTTCCACGCCCTCTCCCAAATCTTCAACTGCCTGGAGCTGAGGGATCTCGCGGCGGCAGCCAGCGTGTGCAGCACATGGCGGTATGAGGCGTCGCTGGATGCCCGCTGGCGCGCCTTCTGGCAGAAGCAAGTCAGCGACGTGGGGCTGTGGCGCTGGGCCAAGGCCGACGGTGAGCATCTGTGCCTGTTTGTTCCTGGCCGACCGTCATCCCTGTCCCGCACACTCAACCTCACCGTCTGCCCCTGGCCCCTCGCTCCGTCCGCATGGTCGCCGTTGCAGGCGACTACCGGCAGCAGCTGCGGGCAAAGCACCTGGTGCGGCGCGGCGACTGCGCCGCCACTGTGTTCCCCTTCAGCCGCCGCGACGGACCTGTCAGCGAGGTGCTGTTCTTCGACGGCGGGCCGCGCGACGCCGACAAGCGCATCCTTACAATCCAGGCACGCTGTTTGGGGGGCTGCGGTCAAAATGCAACACCCTGGCCTGTTGCATTTCAGCGGCATCCTACTTTTGAGCATGCTTCGTTGTGCCCATGCTGAGCCACCCAGCTCACACTTTCATCCAGCCCATGCATGCCATGGCTGCAGGCCCCCAAGGTGCCCGGCCAGTCGGTGCGCCTGCACGGCAGCTGCCTCAAGGTGTGGGATGCGGCGGCGCTGATGGCGCAGCGCCCGATCCTCACGGTGCACGACGTCCTCAAGCACATGCAGCTGGAGGACGGCCGCCTGTTCCTGTGGCGCATCGCCGGCGATGCAGTGATCCCGGTGGTGAGGCGCCCGCCGCCGGCGCAGCGCAGGGAATGCCAGCCAAACCCGGAAACCCTCCTGCGGCTCCATGGCACCCAATGGTGTTGCCAAGCGCATCTTGTGGCCTTTGTTGTTCTGAGGCCTGCTCACATCATGAGCCATCTTACGCCATCTCATCTGCCACTTCACAAACAGGAGTGCCTGGACGGCGAGGACCTGGAGGAGGTGGCCGAGGCGGCGCACTGGGCGGAGCACCCAGCCATCACCGCCTCGGTGCTGGCGCCCGGCCCGCTGGCGCTGCAGGACGTCCCGCTGGAGGCGTCCTACGGCAGGTGGGGCGGGCGCTGCGGGCATGGTGTGTGTGTGTGCTTGAGTTGAAGCTAGGTGGATGGTGGCGTGCAGCATTGTGTTGTTGTGGAGAGGGTGTGTGTTGGGCAAGGGCAGGGGGGTGGATGTGGTGGGCTGGCAGGGAGCGAGGCTGGCTTGCCGTCCACCTTGGGGCCTGTGCTGCGCACCAAGCCTGCCTGTTGCCCGACCGTGCCGCGTGCAGGCGCATCACGCCCTGCGAGTGGTTGGACATGTCTGGCGGGCTGATTGCGGGCAGCCTGATGGTGCCCAGCCAGGGCCGCCTCATCATGCGCCTGTTTGACCTGGCCACAGGCCGCTGCCTGCGCGCCAGCACCTGCGCCCTGAACGCCGACGAGCACGTGGTGCGCTGGCTGGCTGGCGGCTGCAGGGCTCGGCTGGGGCCGGGCATGCCCGCCCCTGCCGCATCTGCCTGTGCCTGTGCCTGTGCTGCTGTCCTTGAGCGGTGATGGGGCCAGCGGCCTGGCACGCCGCCACCGCTCCCGCAGACTGCAGCTTGCTCCCCCAACGCCCGTCCTCTCCCTCGAGTGTTGCCTTCGTCGGCCTCCTCCTGCGGCCTGCAGATGCAGCTTCAGGACCACGAGGTCACCATGATTGTGACCCGCAGCGGCGAGACGGGCTCCCTCGTGGCCGCCACCTGCGCCCTGTTTGACACCCGCGTGTTCCTGTGGCGCCTGCGGGACGAGTGGGTCTCTGCCGGCCAGGCCACCGCCGCCGCCGCCGTTGCGGCAGGCGCCGGCAGCTCGGACGAGCAGGGGCAGCACGCGGGCGAGGCGCGAGACGCTGCCTGGGACCCGGCCGCGACGGTCGCCGCCGTGGGTGCTGCTGCGGCGGCGGGGGGCGGCGACGGGGGGCAGTACGAGCTGCGCCACGTGTACAGCACCCTGGAGGAGGAGCCGATTGTGGATGTCAGCATCAGCACCACCGCGCACCGCCTGTTTGTGGTGGGCATGGAGAATGTGAGTGGGGCAGGGCGGTATCGCCAGCGGCGGTACGCCGGCTGTGGCCTTGGTGCCGCGCACCGCCATGATGCCCTCATCATTGGCTGCTCCTCGCCGCTGGGTTGATGGTGCCTCCGCCCGCTGTCACGCATGCCCTCCCTCCACCCAACCCCGCCCCTGCCCCTCCCGCAGGTCTTCATTGCCGACCTGTCTGGCGTGCCCTACATGCGCGTCTCGCTGGCGCGCTGGCGCGGCGTGGTGCCTGCCGGCCAGGTCATGGCGGCGGCGGATGTGGGGGCGTTCAGGTGCGGGCTGATGCCACGCGCGCCACCCTCCACACGGCGCCCGCCCGCCGGGAGGCGCCCACACCCACCCACCTTGCGCTCTCCGCTGGTCCCGCGCTGCAGCTGGCCGCTGCCCAACAGCACCAAGACCGCTTTCTTCCTGGACACCACCAACTCCCTGTTCATCGCTGAGTTCAGGCGCCCGCAGGTGGGAGCAGGGCCCGGCGGGCGCTCCTGGCCATGCCGCTCCCCATCCGGGCCCCCCAGTGCCCCTCTCCCTGCTCTTTCCTGCTCCTGCGACTCTCCTCTGCCCTCTCGTCCGCCTCCCCCCCCGGCCAACCCCCCTCTGCTGCCCATGCTGCTCGCCGCGGGCGCAGATGAGCGACTACTGGTACATGCAGCACGGGGAGGGGGAGTTTGAGCGCGGGCGGCGCCCCCGCTTTGACCACCACGTTGCGCAGCACCTGCAGCCCGGCTTTGTGGACATGACCTACTATGTGCAGGTGGGCTGGGGGGAGAGTGTGCATGTGCGCGCATTGCGCGCTCTCGTTTGTGTGATGGCGGTGGCGGGGCAGCCCTCTCTTGCACTTTAAGCATGCCACATCCCTGGCGCCGCCCGCTGCCGCGCCGCCTGCAGAGCCACACCGACCTGCGGCCCCCGCCCACCGCGCCGCTGCTCAGCACGCTGCACGGGCGGGCCTCGGGGATGCGCACTGGGGAGCCCGGCGTGGTGGAGTACACGCAGGACGGCGGCGTGCTGCTCACCACCGGCGACACCAGCTGCCCGGCGGTGGCGGCGCTGCTGGGGCACGAGAAGGCGGCGGGGGCGTACCTGGAAGGACTGGGCCCGCGCGCCGCCAAGCCCCGCACAGGCGGCAGCAGGCGGCAGCCCTTCATCAGCCACGGCGGGCGGGGCCAGCGCGGCCAGCTGGCGCCGCGTGCGCTGGTCATGATCGACTCGACCAGCGGGTGCCGGTGAGGGCAAGGGCCGGTGGGGCCAGCAGCGCAGCGGAGCTGGCCGCATGCCTGCCGCGCAGCCGCCGCTCGCCCTCCCATCCCGTCGCGCACGCAGACCTGCACCTGCATTTTACACCCTTGGACACCCAGCCCAGCTCCTGCTGGCCGATTGCCCTGTCCCACCCCCTGCTGGCGTGCAGGTACAAGGCCGTACCGCTGGAGGGCGCGTGCGAGTCGGTGCACACAGCGGGGCAGTACGTGGTGCTGTCGGTGGCGGAGCTGGGCAGCTACCCCCATGGGCTCAACGGCTCCATAGTGGTGCTGGACTTTGGCGGGCGCGGCCTTGGGGGGCCCGGCGAGCTCGCTGCCGCCACGCCCGACCCCGTGCCGGCCCCCGAGCAGCAGGAGCAGGAGCAGCGTGGTGGCCGGCAACGGCGTGGCGGCAGCGCAGCAAGCAAGCAGCGAAAGGATGACAAGGAGGAGGAGGAGGAGGAAGGGAAGCATTCGAAAAGCAGGCGGCGCGCCAAGCCCAACAAGAGGCAGGGTGGATCCAGAGCCAAGGGCAAGGCGCCAGCCACCCAGGCGGCGACGGATGACGAGGCGGGGCCCTCGCGCAAACGGGGCAAGCGCTGAGGCCTAACCCTTGCACTTTATGCCGTACATGTAATTGCCACTTTTTGATAACATCCCCAAGTCACGTGTGAGTCAACAGGCTTTGGCAACCATTGCCGCCAGGTTGGGCGTCGGGTCGCAGCGGGCTCAGCAGGCAGCTTGCTGTTCAGTTGCGCTTGCATCTGTTCCTTGTGCGCAGGTCGCGGGA